TCCTTCCTTCCTTCCTTCCTTCCTTCCTTCCTTCCTTCCTTCCTTCCATCCATCCATCCATCATCCTTACTTCCATTCTCTCTTCCTTCTGCTAATATTTACTGAGGGCAACTATATGTCAGGCCTGGCTCCAGGTGCTTGAGATAAAGTGGTAAACCAAACAGACATGATGCGTGTGCCAGGACGCTCACATGCCAGCTTCAGTGTGTGGGCTTTGTGACACCTGCCTGGCTACTTCAAGGCCTCCCTGATTTCTGGCTGTTTCTTTTGACCTTTCTGATCATCGTCTTCTGCATCAGACTCATATATGGATGAAGAGAGACAGTCTACCTGCAATGTCAGCAGGTGAAACACTGAACATTTTCAGAGTAACTTTCCATTAAAAAATTATATATTGAAAAGATACAAACTATACTTAGAATTCATTATGCACATACTCAGTGTGATGAGTATGATGGACTTTTCAGCCATTTTTATCCACAGTTTTATGACAGAAGAAATATCCTAATTCATCAAAAATCTACAAAATGAAATAAAAATAAAGCCAGTTTTTTGTTTTTATAAAATCATTTGTGCCTTAGAATTAGAGCGTATTTTCTGTCTTGGATCTTGTAATGTAGTTCAAAAAAGTAGTTTAGATCTATAATTATTTTCACAAGGTTGAGGAAATTTCAGAATTAAACATACATGACTGAATTAGTTCACAAAAACAGTTCTGTCCACAGTTTAGCTTTGGGGTTATGATTCTTCATCATTAATTAACAAGGTTTCTAATGAAACACTACTGATTCTTAAAGATTATTAATAGATGGCCCTTGTTTTTAATAACTCAGAATCTAGCGCGGATGATAGATATATAAGCAAGTGATGTAAGAGCAGCATTGATCAGAACTGGATCGGATGGTGGGGTTACCTAATCCTGTGTGGGGGGGTTTAGGGAGATGGCCTGTGAGGAGGTCTTAAAGGGCGACAGGACTTTGCTGGTAGAGAAGCTGTGGAAGATATTTCAGCAACAGTCTGGACGATTTAAGAATAAGAGAAAAGTGAAGCCTGTTAAGAGCGTCTGTGGGACCAGGGCACATAACTGTGGAGGCAGCTGGAGGGAGGTAAAACAGAAATGGTTGGCAGGGGCCTTGAATGGTGTGATAAGGCCTTTGGAATGCATCCTGCAGGCACTGAGGAGTCATTGAAAGTGCTTGAGCAGGGGATTGTCTGTACTGGTCCAGTCTTTAGTTTAGGAAGAGAGCTCTTTTAGTTACAGTAGTTTGGTAAAATATGGTAAAAGCCTGAGTGAAGGCAGTGGCAGTCGGCGAAGGTGAGGGAATCTATTCACGAGACATTTCAGATGTAGAACTGATGGGATTCGGTTACCAACTGGAGTACTGGGTGGCAGGAGCAAGGAAGGTATTTAGGATGACTCATTTCCTGGAGAACTCATGCCATCAACGGCCACAGGGAACGCAGGGGGAAAGGCAGGCTGCGCTGGCAAATATGAGTTTGCTTTTGGACAGGTCGAATTTGAGATTCCTGTAGGGATGTTTAGGTTGACATGATTCCAGAGCTCAGGAGGAGGGTGGAGACTAGAGTCAAGATTTGGATAAATGTACCCAGGAGAGACTATAAAGGAGAGGAGAGAGCAAAGGACAACATCCTGTAAAATAAAAAAACCACCATCTTCCAAGAAATAGGAGAGGAAGGAAGCCAGCAAAAGAGACCAAGGGAGAGGAAATTGGAGGATTGGGAGTGGCGCCACGGATACGAGAGAAGAGAGGGCTCGGTTAACAGGAGTTAAAGAGAGGTGCCAATAAGATTTGCAAGGTAACCATTGGCTTGTTCCTCATGAGAGGATCGTGCCCTTACTGAGATCGCAGAGAGGCATGGGGCGAATGGGAGGGGAGAATCTAGAGGCAGGCAATATAGCTTTCTCTTTTAAGAAATTTATTTTTAAAAATGAGACGGAGGGAGATGGTATAGAACCACCGTTAAATTGTGCAGGAGACTGTGGGCTAATCTAGGGAAGCTTGTTACTCATCTCCCGGCAGTGCTGGACGTCAGTGCTTGCTGCATGCTTGCTCAGAATGTCACCTTCCCTCTATCCTGTTCCTTTATCAGCGGACCTTGTTTACTGGCTCCGTTTGGATTTATCGTGCTGATCACTGCTGTTTACCCTTTCCTGACTCATGGACCTTGCATAGCTCTATATCTGTTCTAGCTGAGTGGACCCTGTGCTTCCTTCAAGCTAGATATAGTCATATGCCTTTGCAGTGTCACCTAGGGACGCAGTAGAGAGGAAGAGTTTTCTGCAAGTTATCCTCTGATATCATTTGAGAGGTAACTTCTAGGGAAGATGGCTATCTTTTCAAAACGCTTAATGTTTGTAGATATTTATAATCAGTTAAAAACCGTATGCTAACTGGAGGAGAGAGACAAATATTGCTGCAGCATGTCCTAAAAGATAAGGGAGCTAAAAATTGCAGAAAACCCTCTGATAAAGAGCAGCATTTATTACTATGTCTCCAAGAGAAAATCTAAAGCATGTCTGCGGCATTGTTTAGAAAGCTAATTGTTCTTATTCTGGAGCAAAAAACATGACATTTTAAGGGAAAGTGTACTGATTAATGTCTATTAATAACCAGTTGTTAGTCATCTGTAGGAATAATGTTACATGGGATTGAACTGAAGGCTTCACAGTGACAATTCTGTTTTTGACTATTGAGAATCAGATGATTGTAAGTGTGTATGATATGTCCTTGTTGTCATTTCCACTTCCTTTCCCCCACCCCAACTGTCTTTTTCTCCTCTAGGTGATATCCCAGTCGTTCCACTTAATTTTGTCGTGATATCCCTGGAGGGTTCGTTTAACCGGGACACAGTGGAAGGATGCGTGAAGGAGACGCTGCTGTTTTTATCACGATCCATTTCCATCAAACAAAATGTGGAGTTTACATTCAAAGGAATCGGCATCCTCGTGATCAAAGACGGCAGGGTGAAGATGAGATTTTTTAAGGAGTTCCTTAGTACAGTGGATGGAAGTGGGGCTCTGGCAAAAGCCCTAGCAAATGTAAATTAATCTTTTTCTTCTCCTAACCCTCTCCCCCTCATAGCTCTGAATCATCTGCGTGTCATTATTAAGGGAAATTCAAGCTTACATTTTAAATGGCAATTACCTCAAATGCAAAAAAGTGTTTATTTATAGATGATACCTCTTTGACAAAAATGGGTAGAAGGGCAAAAGAACTTTAAACCCAGTTTTGAGTCAGTACTGTCTGAAAAATATAAATAGTAATAGAAATTCTTATAATTCGGGCCATTTTATAGTATCCTATAGCTTAAAAAGTTCTTCTGCATATATCATTTCGTTTGGGTCTCAGAATGTTAGAAACCAGCATTAGCATCATCCTGATTTTGCAAATGAGAAAAATGGGAGCTCAGAGAGGTCGCTGGGAAGCCCGAAGGCTGGTGGGTGCTGACAAGCGGTAGAACTGAAACTCAAGCCCAGGCTTTCTAGTCACTCTTTCTTTCTGCTTATTCTATCTTATTTTCATGAAAGTCTACAATAAAATCAAATTCAAGTGATGGAGAGGGCTCTTTAGCTTTTAGTTTGCCATGTTGTAGAAGAGATTTTATAGTTGGCCCCGTCACTTCTCACCGTGACGTAGCTGGTGCGGCCTTCATGGCAGGTGGCACCGAGAGTTTGAGGAGGCGGAGAGACAGTCGATCGGCAGGACTCACTGAATACTTAGTGTGCTTTAGCTGCACCTCTGGCAACTAGCATAGTTGGTGTGAATGCATTGGATTTTCAGAAATGTTATATAATCCTGTGTCTCTTGTAACTTAGACCCTATTATTACCCCCAGATACCTGGGGTCTAAGGCTACATAAAAGTTAGCAGTGTAGGTACATGAGTCCACCAGAATCCAAACCCTTCTTTTAAAAACCAAAGCCCAGTTTTAAAGTTATCTGGGGAAGAGTGGAATTAATCAGCTTGCTCACTTTTCTGACAGTTTCAATAAGTCGGCTAGCCTCTTAAAGATGTGTCAAAGAAACCATTAACTCTGAAGGCAATTTTCAAAGAGGAAGTGGTTTGAGAAAAAACAGCATCATTGGGGTTGTTATGTGACTACCCAGGGTGAAAATTTTGATAACTGAGATCATTCTTCATTGGATTTTAAGCTCTGGACTTTGAGCACTAAATAAAAATAACAATAAAGGTTATCACAGTAGCCTTGCCTCTGAGATACCCTGTAGCTTAGATTTGTCTGTGTCCTGGCCATGGCTCAGGTGTAACCCTTCTCTGTCCCTGTCTTCCAGAGGCCTGGCACTATGGACTCAGTGTTGTCTAGCAGAGAGAGCCTCAGGAAGCAGCCTAACAATGTGCTTGCATTTCCAAGGTCAGTGTTTCGGTCCACAGGCTCCTCCAGGCTCCAGCAATCCTTGCTGCTCTGTGGGTCTAATTGGGCAGTGTTTCCCAACCTTTTGTGGCTCATGCTCCTTTGAGTAACAGTCTTACCCCAAGAGTGCAGTGGGGTGGGTGTTACTGGTGACCGACAATGATTATAATAATGATAATGACAATGAATAATAATATTAGTTATCTATGAAGCCCTTACTAGCTGCCAAGTACTATCAAGAATTTTCTAAGTATTACTGTACTTAATCTTCACTACAACCATTTCAGATAGGTATTATAGTTTTATCCATTCCATAGAGGTGCAAAATTAATTATAATTTTAATTTTTTTTAACAAGTGTAGCAACATGGTGCAATATTGAGAACACTGTAATATGAGACTTGGGTTTTATTTCCATTTTGGCCATCACGCACTCACTGTGTGCTCTTAATTGTGCTCTTAATTTCTGTGCTGTTAATTACTGTGCATTTCAGGTAGAGGAAGTTTGGGGAATAATAGCCAGCTTCCCAGAATATTATTTTCTCATGTTTTGTTGAGTCTGTGACGTCTTGAGTTTGTTGGTTTGAAATAGCTCCTTCTTGGAAGAACTGTGTGACGCACACCTCAGCAAAATCAGTGTGAAGGCCAGAATGGGCCTTGGAGATTAGTTAGTCCAACCCCTTCCTCTTGCAGATGAAACGGCCAAACAACTAATTAGGGGCCAAGCCAGAAATGAAACCATGGCTCCTGACTACCCCAGTGTTTTCCCCATTGTACCACCTTGTTTTACTCATTAAAAATAAATCAATGGGTTCTAAATAATTTTATGATTATATTTTGGAAGGCAAATTTGGGTGTCCCCTTGGACATATTTTGGCTTAAGCGCTCCAAGAGGGAAATAATTGCAGTGAGTCAAGGAGAATTAGAAATCCTAGAAATGGACACAAGGACTCAAATACAACAATTGCAGGTGTTTTGATTTGAAATTTGGCCCCTGAATTTACTGGAGGTTCCCCACCCCAAACTTTAACCCAACACTCTGAGCCTGAGAACAAAGAAAATCTACAACTACACATACAAATTGAACAGACCCCTTCTCCCATCAAGTCTTTGCAAGTCCCTCAGTTTTGCTTGAGAAAAAGATGGAGAAGTGGGGAGGAGAAAGAATAAGGGGTGCAATGGTTATTTCTGAGTGTACTTTGCCCACCAGGCTATGAGTCCTTGCCTTCAAGCTCTTACTATCTCATCTCTGTGGCATCTGCTTAGAGAACTGGAAAAGACAAATTCAACCTGAAACCTTAAACTTCAAACTGAAACCAAAAGCAAAAACTTAAATCCAGGCTTTCCAAGCAGTGTATGTAAGAGCTGCTTTTGCGCCCTCAGTATAGAGGGGGAAGGTTTCGGTCAGCTCCCAGACTTAGTGATTTGTACTCGGCACACCAAAGCACTCACCCCCTTGAGAGAAGTGGCTTATTTCAGAATCAGCAAACTAGCTGGGTTGCTTCTCAGAACTGAGAGTTCATACGGTCACCTATTCAGGCCCAGATGGACAAACATCTTGGTTTGTTCCTAGGCTTGAGCTCAAGGAGATGGAGAACAAACCGCCTATGGAGACCATTGTAGAAGACGGTGGGAAGAATAAACCGAGGAACTGCAAGTTAAAGGACCGGGCAGACCAAGGAGAAGGCGCCAGGGGTAAGCCAACGGTACATCTCGCTCTTTACCGCTTAATGAACCCAGCCGTTGCTCAGAAACTCCTATGCCCCAAGCAAATAAAGTTAGATTCTTGAATAATAATAATGATAATAATTTGATTTTAAAGAGAGGAAGGCAGAGGGAGAGAGAGAAAACATTGATTGGCTGCCTGCCTCCCATACACGCCCCGACGGGGGAATCAAACCTGCAACTCGAGTACGTGCCCTGACCGGGAATTAATCCCACCACCTTTTGGTGTATGGGGTAATGCTCCAACCAACCGAGTCACACTGGCCAGGGAAATCACTGTGTCCTTCTCTCAAACATCTCCTATCTCTAGAATCTGTATCTTATTTTAACCACTTTATGACCCTCAGGCTCTTAGACAATGATCCCTTTGCTGGCTCCACATTCTTAAAGGGGTCAAAACCCAGGTGCCTACAGGTCCAGGCAGGTAACAAAAATGCATAAAGTGGGATGGATATAACATGATGAAGAGACATGTTAGCATAAATAAGAATTTTTATGAAAAATGAACAGTGGTAGCTTTATAGCTTTGATATCTGACTTACAGGAGATAGTGGATTCTCATGTCTGTGTCTTCATTTAATCTGTTGTGATACAATGTTTTGGTTGAAGCATATGAAAAAAACTAGAACTTCAAAAACTTTTCAAAAGGGTCCTAGGGATCCGCTGGGGTTGCCAGACTACCCGTTGAGGATTGTTTGTCTATCAGCTTATTGATTTTTGGAAATGTGAGCCAAGTGGTATCACATTTTCTTATTTTTCAAGAGATTCTAAAATCTATTGATTTTAAATGTTGACAACTAATTGGCATTGAAACAAAAAAAGCTGATTGGACCAAACAAAATATATCAATGGGTAAACATTGGCTTGTAGATATTGGTTTGTCATGTGGCCTATAGAATTACATATAGACTTTTAGCCCAGGGTTTACTGCTTTCGTTTCCTGAGCCTTGTCTATCACTGTTCCTATTCTCTATTCATGTTCTTCTAATATGCCTTCTCCTTCCCTGACCTCAGGCTTCTGTTAACTTTTCCCTCCTGCCTTGAATGTCTGTCCTTCCTTTTCTTACAATCTGTCCCAGTCTTACTCACCGCTTAGCACCCTTTTCACATCTCATTTCATTACTGGATTCTGAAGCAGCTTCTCTCTTCCCTGAACATGTCAGATCCTTAAAGACTGCGCTGTTTGTTTGAGGTTTAGACATTTTGCATCATTGCCCTGAGTTGCTACTTATGTAATGCATATAAAGCACTTAGCACTGTTGGCATGTAGCAAGACCTCCACAGATGGGAGTTCTCATGTCCTTTGTTTATATCTTTTTTTTCTTTCTTCTCCAACTATCGATTGAAAGATCTTTAAGGGCGAAGACTTGCCTTTTAGTATTTTCTAAAGTGCCTGGTCAGTGCTTTGCATGTAATAAGTATACAACAAAAATAGATAAAGGGTGGGGAGAAAGTAGGTTTATAGTTGTTCGTATGGAAAAAAAATACAATAGCTAATAATATAAGAATAAACTGTTTCGTGTTCTCACAACTGTAAACCTACTTTTGCCCCATCCACTATTTTTAAACCATACTAGGGCAAGGGACAATAATTTAAAGATAAGAAAGTGTATCTCATCTGAAAATTTTCCCTGGTAAAATTATGAGTTTAAAAATCTGTGTTAAGTACAAACCACCCATTTAAAGTTGAAAGGAAACTCATTTTCATTCATTCTACAGAGATCTCATCACCTAAGAAACTTCCAGAGAGAAAAACAGACTCCTGTAGCAAAGTGAAAGATGCCAACTTGCCAAACAAGTTAGAGCAGAGTGGGAGTTGGGGGAAGAATATGAACCCCGAAAGGTAATACATTGGTATTTTTTCTATTACATCCTACTAAATATAGTTTTGAGTCATTTCTTAATGCAAGGAATTTAAGTAAATGTCTGTTCATTCCCTCACCCAGTATTCTTGAGTACAAATTATGTACTAGGTGACTGGAATAATAGACAACCAGAGCTCATGGTCTAGTGAGCAACACCGACAAACAAAGAACAATGCATTCAGTAGGTTAAATGCTGTGACACAGCTGGAGACAAAATAGCACAGAGCAGGGAACATCTAACTTCCCTTGTGGATTTGGGAAAACATCCCATGCCTTGAACAGTGTACATAGTAAGCACTCAATAAATTTTTGTAGAGTGAATAACTTTTATCCTAATTTCACAGGATTGGTAAGTGAGACTTTGCAAGATGACCCAGCTTGTCTAATGCCAGTCAACTTGTAAGCAAAAAACCTGGTCAAACCCCCGTTTATCTGACACAAAGCATAGGCTCTTAACCTCTATCCATACAGATGCTTTGAAGAAAACTATTGCTATATTTATTCTTTCTTTTATATTTACATGTGTCTCTAAAATTATCCTTGCCCTAGATATCACGCTGTATTACACACTAATGAATGTTGCATTGTTTTTATAGCAAATCATCTCCAACGTGTCTAAAAAATGCCAATGAAATGAAACCTAAAGTTTCTCCAACCACCAGGTGCCAGGATCATAATAAGGCAGGACAGGTATGGTGTCTTCAAACAAACAAAACTTAATCAGAATCTTCCTCTGACTTCTGTTTCTCAGTGAGAGTTCTGGGAATCACTCTTTAATATACGGACATGGCTCCAGTACTCAGGACCCAAAATTGGACTCTGATCAATCTATCTACTAGTCAGTCAACTAGTTAACAGAAATAAGATTGGGAAATCTCTAATCTAATTTTCAGTTGCTATAGATACTTCTGATCAAATGAGAGTTGAGTAAATGCTTTTGAATATTTGTGGGGCCCACTCTGCAAATTTTATTTTGCTAATTACTGTTAACATATCCTTTTATGATGTATGCTTTTGGTACACCCAGCCTTTGGAGAGCTCATGAAGGCAAAAAAGTAAAAGGTCCTAATATTTGGTGTTGTAGGAGATGTGTTACGTATGCTTGCAACGAGCACAACGGAATTCCCCGTTGTACTACGGTGAGGAGAGGAAGAGGAGGGAGATAGAAGATGAACAGCTTCTACAGCAGTATCAAATGCTGAAGGATCAAGAGACTTTCTTAAAAAACCAGGTAATTCAGCACCTCAATGAAAGAGCGTTTAACATGGGACAGTAGAACATGATTATAAAATGCCATTTAGAATGTTCTATCGTATGCCTGTATTGTAACATATTTAATCATTTACGTACTGTAGGACTAAAACTTAGGTTGTGTCCAAGTTTTCACTAATAATGGCTTCACTTTTTATTTCTGGTAAAATATAATCCCGGTCAAGTCTTCTTTCTTCAAATCCATAGCCTATCTCTAGAAGCAAAGAGAGGTCCTAGCCGGTTTTCTCAGTGGTTAGAGCATCAGCCTGCAGCCTGAAGGGCCCCAGGTTTGATTCCGGCCAAGGGCATGTACTTTGGTTGCAGGCTTCATCCCCAGCCCGGCCCCGGTCAGGGTGTGTGGGAGGCAACCAATCGATGTGTCTCTCTCACATCGATGTTTCTCTCTCTCTCCCTTCCACTCTCTCTGTAAAAGCATTGGAAAAAATATCCTCAGGTGAGGATTATTTAAAAAAAAAAAGCAGCAAAGACAGAATGGCACCTTTGCATTTGCATTGTTAGTAATTGGTCTGTGGTCCCTGATAACTGACCCTTCTGCCCTTTCCTGCATTTGTGGTATCAAGTAAGCACTTACGAAACCTTCCATTCCTCCTAATGGTCCCCGTCTTGCCTGAAGCCCAAGAACAGGAGATAAGAAACCTCCCCTAACGCACTGTTATAAATCTATGAAGTATCAGAAAGTATCATTGCCTCCAAAGGGCAGGTTTCTACCTTGGTTGGATTATTTTAATGTAATAGAATTAAATTTTTTAAAGGCTCTATTTCAATGTGCTTTTTCCCCCTCCTAAAGATGAGAAGTCTGGCCTATAGAGAACAGAACCAAAAAAATGCTGCCTATAATCTTGGAGTTGCCGAAGCTATGAGAATCCACAAGAATGAAAAACCTGAATTTTATGTAAGGGTTTTTTCAGAATTTTCACTGTGAATACCTGCTCCATCTGTGAATGTTGGGTCCACTCTCTGTTGTCAACAGAAGAATGTCCAGCCTATAGAAAAATTTCTTAAGTTTATTTAAGCCAAAATTTTGAGGACATGCCTGGGAGCAAAATCGCAAAGGATTGAGAAAATGCTTTGGAGAATGGCAATTTTGCAGCTTATTTTATACATTAGAATCAAAGTAGAGAACATAGGAAGGTTACATGAAATCCATTGGTGGTTAGGTTTAAAGAGGCGGGAGAAAGCAAAGTGGGGAAATCTCAAGGACTGGATAAAAGAACGGAGAAACACATACTTCTTTTACATTTCTGGGTACAGGATAGTTAATAATTAACTTACAGCACATAGGGATGGTATGTGGGGAATAAGATAACAACGAGGAGCTGGTGCCAGCGGTTGTGCCTTTGAGGGGTAAGAAAATTACTCAGGCATTTCAAAGGTATGTTATCCTAGATGCATAAGAACAATGGACAGAGCTCCCTTAAGATAAAGGTTGACCTTTGCTGAGGAAGCTACAGGCCTGGGACAGGACTACCTGCTACAGAACCTGTCCAGTTAGGAATTTGTGATCAGACCACCCTGTGTTCTCACTGTTGGTCACCAAGTTTGTAAGGCCTGCCATGTGGTTCTCCTGAGCTTGTCGGGTTTAGTATGTAGCCCCTTTGTCTTTCACATTGTATTGCAGGCTGTGCTGGTTTTCAACGGACAGAGATGAAAAGTGGGTTGTGCAAGGTTGAAGCTTCCTTCTAGGGCAGGAGTGGTGCAGTGTCTGCCCCCACACTGTTCACATTCACAGTGCAGTTCTTATTAGTCACTGCAGTGCTTGTTAACGCTAGAAACTCTCGACCAGGAGCTGGGGTGGGCGGTAGGAGACCGCATACTAAAGTCCTGCCCCGGGAACAGCTGATCTAAAGAGGACCAGCACTTGCTGGAAATGCAGAAGCTAGGGTCTCACCCCAGGCCTCCAGAATGGGAATCTACATTTGAGTAAGATACTTAGGTGATCTGTGGGCACACTAAAGTTTGAGAAGCCCAGTTTCGGATGGGGGTGAGCCACCTGCTTTGTCATTGATTTAACGTTTTCAATCATTATGTGCCTACCTAAATTTACTTTTGCCCGAAACTTTCTCCTTTCACCTACTATCTAGGTGGTAGTTTGACATTCTGGACATAAATCTAATCTAATATATTTTATTTATTCATCGTCAAACATTTATTAATGAATTTCTGTGTGCTTAGCACTGTACTGGTGGCTAGGAATATAAAGATAAATAAGACAGGGTTCCTTTCTAAAGAGGCCTAAAGAAGATAGTGGGGGAGACAGATTCAAAGAGACAAGACTGTGATATACTAAATGCTGTAAGACTTTGAATACAGCCCTGTGTGAACAAAGAGGAGAGTCACTTAACCCAGACTAGAGATCTGGCAAGGCTTCCTGGTGTACAGGAGTTAGGAAGTAGAAGCAGATGTAGAGCTGAGTGGAAGAGGAGCCCGCCAGGGAGGGGCGGCAGGGAGGGACAAGGTAGAGCACAGTGCGTTTGAGACTGAGGCATGATCTCTCTGTCCTCTTAGATATAACTTGCAGATTATATTTATTACTGCCCACTTACTATCTCCTCTTTGATATATCTGTGGACATCTTAAACTTAAAAAGACCAGAACAGAACTTTTGATTCCCTTTCTCAACCTGCTCTCCTTTCAGCTTTCCCATTTTCGTAAGTGGCATCACCAGGCAGACCGTTGCACACACCTGATTCCAGTTTCCTCCTTCCCTGTCTCCCACATCCACCCATCTGCAAGTCCAGTTGCCTTTGCTTTTAAATGCATCTAACACCTCTTCATCTTCAATGTCACCACCCCAGTCCAAGCCACGTTATAAGGCTGAAATTCTGTGATACCCTCCCTAATTAGGCTCGCTGTTAGCCTTCCTGTCCTTCTACAAGCTATTGCCCACACAGCAACCTTTCAAAGTGATTAACCAACCCATATCTAGTGGCCTCCCATTGAATTAAAATAAAATAGATTTATCTTGACCTATCAGGTCCTACATGATAAGGCCCTAGCCTCCCTCTTTGAGCTCACCCACTTCTACTTTCCCCTTGCTCACTGCGCCTCCACCGCCACACAGATCTTTCTGCTCGTTAAACATGGCTGGCTTGTTTTCATCTGGTGTCTTTGCATTCACTGTTCCTACTGTGTGGGACACAGATGATTCAGTCATCTCCACTGAAAAATTTTCCATTAACCAACCAATTTAATCCTATTCCCACCCAGCCACTCCCTGTAAGGGCTTCCTAGCACTTATTGTGACTTTAAGTGACCTGATGCATAGTTTACTGGTTCACTATCTGTCTCCTGCTCCAGGGTGCAGGCTCGATGAGAGCAGGGCTGTCTGTGGTTCTTCATTCTTGGTCACCGTTGAATCATCAGCGTCTAGAACAGCCAGGCCCGGAATGAGTGTTCTGATCTCCCAGTTCCCACCTCTTCGCCACCCTTGCTCATGCTTTTGCCCTCAGAATTCCTTCTTCCCCTCTCTGTGTTGTATGTACTAGCTCAGGACCTACTCCATGAAGTCTTTTTTCATCTCTTGGATACTGGGCTTTGGTCGGTCCTGCTCAGATTTATTCTTGAGCACATTTGTATTACTCTGTGCGTTACCTCAATACTAGCTGGTCAGTGTGTTGAGGATTTGTAAATATCATAAATCAATAAATACTTCCTGATTGAATTTAGTCTTCTGAACTATTACCTTTATTCTTTGTTGCTCTTTGGTATTTTAGAATAAATAACCCGCTTCTCTTTCATTCTAGAAATCCTTCCTATTTTATAAACGGCCATCCAGTCCTGAGAGTAAGGCTTTAAAGCAAGAGGAACATTTCCAAAGTCTCCTGAAACAAATGAATAATAGACGGGAAAAGGAAATAAACCAGAGAGAAAACAAGGAGTTGATGGAACGCCTAGAACAAGTGCAACTCACAGAGGAGTGAGTCCGGCTAGACAGTCTCAGGAAAACGGAGCCAGAATTTTCATGTGACGCTTATTTCCATGTGGGATTGACTCAGCATTACTAGTTTAGCACAATTGTAACCAAATGAGCAAACGAACCCAGCTAGCAGCCAGTACCATGGCATAACATTTTATTAGGAAAATGAAAAATCCATTATTATAATAATTATCATTACAGTAATGATTGCCAATCTATAATTATGTAACTATAGAGTATCATCACTAATATTGGTAGATGGAGGGAAGGGATTTGTCTTGGGCAGGGCATCATTCTTTACTATTCCCAGGTGATCTCAAGGCAAAGCTGAGGTTTTATTAGAAGTATGTAGGGATGTCCTATGGAACCGGAGGGCAGGGGTGTATGGGGACTAAAAAGCCATGTAGTAATAGCTTTCCCTTTGCTCACACTCACAGCTCCCTACATGGCATTGTCTTTATTCCAGCTCAAACATGGATGAATGTTAGTCTCAATTCCAAATTTTCAGTAAAGAGAATCTGTTTGGTCTTGTTTGGGTCATCTGGGGCCCAAGATGGGGTCAGGGCCACAGAGTTCAAGCATTCCTAAGGGGGCCACACTTCTGCTACTGAGGTTAGGAGAGCAATGAAGAAGGCTACTCCAGAGTGAGAGAGACTCCTGAAACAAATAATATTAGTTTCTATGACCAAAGGATTGCATTTCCATAAAATGTATGTGTCCCATTATACCCATTTTACATATCATATGGGTTTCCTGGAGGTTACATATAATAGAATCATAATTTATAATAGGAAAGATCACTTTTCTTAAAAAGAAATCTTGTGATGAATCATTTTATAGAATGAATAGACACTTCCTGCTTTCCTATATAGATTTTTTAAAAGCCTCTGGGGAGGGAGGGAGGAAGAGATCCTGTCTTAGTAGGAGTGCATTTGTGTAATACGGTTGGCTACCTGCTTAGTCCTGTCTGTCTGTCCTGTGTTCTATACATTGTTCACTAGCCTATGGATTTGAATTACTGTTTTCTGTCTTAAAAATGAAAGCTCCTGGAAGGAAATAACACTTTTTACTTACCAGGCTCTTGTTCCTATGAATACTAGACGTTTAAAAAAAATATGTATCTTTATTGATTTCAGAGAGAGGAAAGGAGAGAGAGAGAGAGATAGAAACATCAATGATGAGAGAGTCATTGATCTTCTGCCCCCTGCACGCCCCCCACAGGGGACTGAGCCTGCAACCCAGGCATGTGCCCTGACCGGGAATCGAATCCCCATCTCCTGGATCCTAGGTCGATGCTCAACTGCTGAGCCACACCGGCAGGGCTAGACATGTTTTGATTAGGTTAATCTGTATTACTAAAGACTCAGTAACAAACTTTGCCCCCACCTTCTCTTATTCATAACTGCCAGACTTGCTGCACAAAGAGCCAAATACATACAAGATAAGATGGAAGAAACAGAGTGTTACAAGAGAGCTTTGGATGCACAGGTAAGGGAATAATTATTAATTTAAAAACTGTGCAGTGCGTCAGTAGCATTCTAAAAATATGTGTAAATGCTGTGATGTTATGAATACCCTTCTGCGTTATCCATTTGGTGGTTTCGAGGCCCCTGTTCCTCCCTGGAAGGTATTGGTGTTTCACTGTGCTAGAGCCTCATGCATAAAGTTCATCCCCTGGTATAATTGTAATCTGCATTATGCGTGTCCCTGTTTCAGATAAAGCACAAGTTCCCCCAGCTGCCCATATCTGAGCCCGACTCCTTTAAGCCCATCTTTGGTAAGAATGAAAATGAGCTGGTGGTGGAAAAGCGAAAGCGAGATCAGAGTTACATGAAGCACCAGCTGGAGGCAGCTGCTAGACACAAGAGGAAAGTCATCCTGAACCAACTGGTGGACCAAAAGCGGGACTTGCTGATGCTGCAGAAGACAAAAAAAGAGTAGGAGACCCCAGATCACCCCTCCTCCCCCTTCCTGCCTCCTCTCCCCTGTTCCCCTGCTCTCTCTCTCTCATACCACAGCAGAGAAGCAATGAGAGTGCACACACTGAGGAGTGACTATGTGCAAAATATTGTTCTAAGCTTATTACATGCGTCACCTCATTTCATCTTCACGATTCACCCTATGAAGAAAAGTTACCAAGCTAAAAACACACACCTTAAACTCCCTTGATCCCATTTCTCTCTTCATATTTCTCCTTCCCTTTCCAGTACAACTTCTTAGAGTTGTCCACACCAGCACAACCATTGGAAATACACCATGAGCCACAGATATGCTATTGTGCTCAAGTAGACACAGACGTGAAAGTTGGGCTCTTTCTCAATCTCTGCTAAACCCCCTTCCTTCAAAGAACTGTGCATGTAGTAAGCTGTGCTGATGATTGCTGGGGAGGGGTCGTGAAGGTGGCAGGGTAGGCAGAGGAAGGCTTCCTGCCGTAGCAATGCAAGTGCCTTTAAATCCAGACATGACACTTACCTGGTTTCTTAAAAGGCTTACTTAGACACCTCACCAATGGAGAATTTTATAAAATTATCAAAGTTCACAGGAGTTCCAAAAGGGCTCCTCCCCCAAATCTCTTTTTAGAAGGCAGCTGTACTTATAAAAAGAAAAAAAGTTATTAACATTTTACAAATGGTCAGTGGGATGGTGCAAAGATCTGTTATGTTCTATACCAGGTGGGCTCAGACATGGGAACGTGAGCGGAAGAGCAGGTTAAGGAAGGGGTACCTTGTGATAAGGGCGGGGCTGGGTTGTTCGTTGAGAGAGGTCAGAGTAGTTAAACGCATGGCTTTCAGAGTCAAGGCAGGTGTGGGATAGTCTTGCATCTGCCCAGGGCTATATATATTTATATGTCTATATATTGGCTAAAATGTTGAAATATTTTTATACTTCTTGAAAAGTAGCTGTAGCCTCAAGCCCTGCAAGTGCACCGGTACTGCCCAGGCTGCCCCAGCCCTTCCCTGGG